AATTCTGCAACTGCAACAAACAATCAACACTATGGTGGATCAACTGCGGACATTTGCATCTGAGGTCACTCGCGTCGCCCGTGATGTCGGAACCGAGGGCATACTCGGCGGACAGGCTGATGTTGAAGGCGTCAAGGGCATGTGGAACGAATTAACGGTCAACGTCAACGCTATGGCAAACAATTTAACGACACAAGTGCGGGACATCATCAAGGTGACGACTGCCGTCGCCAAGGGAGATCTCACTCAAAAGGTTCAAGCGGATTGCCGGGGCGAGATCTTCGACCTCAAGTCTACCATCAACTCTATGGTTAACCAACTTCAACAATTTGCTCGGGAAGTCACCAAGATTGCCAGAGAGGTCGGCACCGAAGGCCGTCTCGGTGGTCAAGCCACCGTTCATGATGTCGAGGGAACTTGGAGAGACCTTACTGAGAACGTCAACGGTATGGCCATGAACTTGACAACGCAAGTTCGAGCCATTGCCAAGGTCACGACCGCCGTCGCCAACGGTGATCTCACAGAGAAAATCCGAGTGCCTGTCCGCGGTGAGATTCTTGATCTCAAGAACACCATCAACACTATGGTTGACCGTCTGGGCACGTTCGCTTTCGAGGTCAGCAAAGTCGCGAGGGAGGTCGGCACTGACGGAACTCTGGGCGGACAAGCTCAGGTCGACAACGTGGAAGGCAAATGGAAAGACCTCACAGAAAACGTCAACACCATGGCCTCAAACCTTACGTTACAGGTCCGCAGCATTTCAACCGTCACACAGGCTATTGCGAATGGCGACATGAGCCAGAAGATCGAAGTTGAGGCTCAAGGAGAAATCCGGGTTCTCAAAGAGACCATAAACAACATGGTTGACAGGCTTTCTAATTTCTGCAACGAAGTGCAGCGAGTAGCCAGAGACGTCGGTGTTGACGGCAAGATGGGTGCACAAGCAGACCCTGCCGGCTTGAAGGGTCGCTGGCGGGAGATCACGACGGACGTCAATACCATGGCCAGCAACTTGACGACTCAAGTGCGCGCATTCTCTGACATAACCAACCTGGCGACGGACGGGGACTTCACGAAACTCGTCGAGGTTGAAGCATCTGGCGAAATGGACGAACTGAAACGAAAAATCAATCAGATGGTGTCAAACTTACGGGATAGTATCCAGAGGAACACACAAGCTCGTGAGGCGGCAGAGTTGGCGAACAAGACGAAATCGGAGTTCCTGGCAAATATGTCTCACGAGATTCGCACACCCATGAACGGTATTATCGGCATGACACAACTCACCCTCGACACGGACTTGACACAATACCAGCGAGAAATGTTAAATATCGTCAACAGTCTTGCCAACAGTCTGCTCACGATCATTGACGACATTTTGGACTTGTCCAAAATTGAGGCTAGGAGGATGGTCATTGAGGAGATTCCGTACACTCTGCGTGGTACGGTCTTCAATGCTCTCAAGACCTTGGCTGTGAAAGCCAACGAGAAGTTCCTCGACCTCACGTACCGAGTAGACTCCTCAGTACCCGACCATGTCATTGGCGATTCGTTCCGTCTTAGGCAGATCATCCTGAACCTTGTCGGCAACGCCATCAAGTTCACCGAGCATGGAGAGGTCAGTCTTACAATTAAGAAGGCCGATCCGGTGGTTTGGAAGTGCAACCCCGACCAATATGCCATTGAATTCGTTGTTACCGACACGGGTATTGGCATCGCGGCCGACAAGCTCGACCTCATTTTCGACACTTTCCAGCAGGCCGATGGATCCATGACTAGAAAGTTCGGCGGCACCGGACTTGGTCTATCCATTTCGAAGCGTCTAGTGAAGCTCATGGGCGGTGACTTGTGGGTTAAGAGCCAGCACGGTCAGGGCAGTGAGTTCCACTTCACATGTCGCGTTCGCCTGTCAGATCTCGGCGTCGAGTCCATTGAGAAGCAGATCAAGCCCTACAAGGGTCACCAAGTTCTCTTCGTCGACAAGGCCCAGACCTCGTACGGCGAACAGATCCGGGACATGCTTCATAAGATCAGCCTGCAGCCCGTCGTTGTTCAGTCGGAAAAGGACCCATTGCTCACTGGAGTTCGAGACGCTCAAGCGATGCCATACGACGTTATTATCGTCGACTCCATCGACACCGCTCGCAGACTCAGGTCGGTGGATGACTTCAAGTACCTGCCTATCGTTCTGTTGGCGCCTGTCGTTCATGTGAACCTCAAGTCCTGCTTGGATCTGGGCATCACGTCGTATATGACAACACCATGCACAGCGGTTGACCTGGGCAATGGCATGATACCTGCCCTCGAGAACCGCGCCACGCCATCGCTTGCGGATAACACCAAGTCCTTCGAGATTCTGCTTGCAGAAGACAACCGAGTCAACCAGAGGCTTGCAGTCAAGATCCTCGAGAAGTACCACCACGTGGTCACTGTTGTCGGCAACGGTCTTGAAGCCGTCGAGGCAATCAAGCGGAAGAAGTTTGACGTCATCCTCATGGACGTACAAATGCCCATCATGGTAAGTCCCGGAATTTCTATTACATGTCTATCTTGATTGCGAGCTAACCCCACCCGGCAGGGCGGCTTTGAGGCAACTGGCAAGATCCGCGAGTATGAGCGAAGCCTTGGCTCGCATCGTACCCCTATCATTGCCCTGACAGCCCACGCCATGATGGGTGACCGTGAGAAGTGCATCCAGGCCCAGATGGACGAATACCTGTCCAAGCCCCTGCAGCAAAACCACCTCATCCAGACCATTCTCAAGTGTGCTACCCTGGGGGGTCAGCTGCTGGAGAAGAACAGGGAGAGAGATCTTGCTCAACAATCCAGGGTTAAGGCCACCGGGAATGAGCAACCTCAGTCTCACCTCCGCCCACCTCTGGAGAACCGAGCCTTTTCATCAATAGAACCAATGACAGGGCCTAGTCTGGCTAGCCCGTCCTTGGTCACGGCGGATCAGGAGGATCCCATAACTAGGGCACGTAACGGCCTTTCCGACTCGCGCAGCCTAACAAGCTAACTTGGTTTCTTGTTCGTGCGCGTAGCTGCTGCTGAGGTCACATAGTTCCTAACTGGGATGTGCAGGGACAGGCTCAGAAAAAACGCAAGTGGCGACCCGAGTAAGCCAAACGAGTAGCATCGTTTTACGAAGCAATACCCAAGAAAGATGGAGGAGCATTGGAGGATGGATACAGCACCTGGACGCCGCTGCTTGCTCAATTTATCCGACACATCTCTCCCATCACAACTGTTTACGAGCGGCACGACTCCTTCAAGCAGCAGAAGGCATTTCAAGACAAGAAGAAGCACTGTTTTCGAGTTTCGTTATAAAGACGGGTTGTGCATAGTGTGCAAGCACATGCGACAAGGGGGAGACAGTTTCTTTTTTGAGCACACTGGATCTCTTAAGATGCGTATGCACACAAGGGAGGGGGTCAATGGGATTATGGAGGTCGTTGGGAGTTTTTATCTTTATTTTGGTATTTCAGACAGGAGGGAGGGACAGGCGTCACACTGCCCGCATTCTTCACAATCTCGTTAACCTTCGATTGTAGTTTTACTGTTGGTACCCAGGGGTGGACAGACAGGAGGATGAGATGAAAGTTTCTGGCATCCACATATGGGCCTGCTGTGAATTTGGGTTGTCTCCTATATAGGGCGATTAGCTTAGCCCTCAGCTTGAACAGCTTTGGGCTGTGTCTGTTGGTTGGAAGGGCTATTTCGACGACGAAGACGAAGAATTGGGAAAGAAGTTTCCACTACTCAAGAACAGGCATTGACGGTTGATAGCGGGGAAAGATGGGATTCTGAATTTTCTTGATTTTCCTTTTCTCCTTGCTCAAATCAGGTTTACCAGCAACAAGGGCGTCAGATGGGTTGGGGGTCCCGAGACTACATCATTGATATCAAGAGAAGCAAGGCCGCCGTATAAGGAAAGGCTGAATTTGCCGAGCTCGTCGAAACAAATTACTGTCGTGATTGATGTCCATCTACACTATATTGAATTCGCCAACGATTGAATGTGAGGGAATCGTGCGAGGGGGATGTGAAGCAAACCAGCCGCACACGATGATGAGGGGGATGGGGGCGGGGGGCTCCATCCGAGCATCTCGCTCGCTCGCTCGCTCGCCGGCCGAAGGAGCGAGGGAGGGAAATCGGCCGCGAATTTAACAATCACACCACAAAAGGCATGCAATTCTGCGCTGGTCCTAAGCGGCATTCTACAAACCCATGTTTTTTTTTTCCCTGCCCCTCACTTGTTGACACTTTCCACCCCCTCCTCCGCAGCCCATAGCTTCTCTGCACCACCACACCATGGCATCAAAGTACCGGCCCAAATATCAAAAGTCACTTTGTTTTCCCTCCAAATCACCAGGCGACACACGCTAAAAAGACATCGCGATCACAAATCTGGGCAAGACGCAGGATGGCGAATATGTGTGATAAGTCCTAGGGGGCGATAATGTGTTGCAGCTGCAGATATTGGCCAGCCCTGGCGAGTGGCAAAAGAATGTTGACAGGAAAGAAAACAGACCACCCCATCCCCCTCCTCTCCCCTCCTCCCGCGTGCGTTTGACGCTTCCTACGATAATCACCGGCCGTCCAGAACCGCAAATCCGCACATCTTTTCCGATCAAACAGACGAATTATCGAGATAGGATGGGATGCAGTCGACAAGACGAGATGTGATAGGACAGGTCGGGGAGGAAGAGCCGGACCATGCTGATCAATACCGCCCCTGATCTCCGACAAGGGATCGTCGTGTCCGCCCACGCGGGAACTTGCCCCCAAATATCGCCACCCAGCGGTTTCCATACCAGCAATTGCAAATCCCCATGTTTTAGTCCGCCCTTAGCATCGATTCCCAGCACTGATCGTCGGATTTCAGGATCATGAAGAGAGGGCGACCAGCGGTACCGAAGAACATGAAAAGTGGTTATCGCTCCGTCTCTCGACCCACGTAAGTTCGTCACAACACTTTTGGAATCCGGCCTGTCCGTCTAAGGCTTCTTCGCCGCTCCTGAGGCATCGGGCCCGGACCCCTCATTGTGCTTCTGGCCGCTGGGGGTGTTTCCATTGTGGGTGTCGTTCGTGTCCTTCGGAGCTTCAGCTCCTCCTTCGGAAGATTCAAAGGCAGCTAGGAGGGCGTCCAGTCTATTCTCAAGGTTCGTCAGGTTCGCCTCGAGCGCGCTGGCAGCCTGCTCGCCTCTGTTTGCGGTTCTCGGTTAGTCCAATATCTGAATTTCGGCGTGGAGAAAAAGCGGTCACGAGGACGCGGCTGGAAGGGCAAATATGAATGGGAATCTATCTTTTCCGCATCGCCGCTTGGCTGGACCGGACGCAAGAGAGAGGGGTTGGTGGCTATTAGGGAGGGGGGTTTGGCAGTCCATGCCAGACACGAAAGAATGGCCTCGAACATCGAGATGGCCACCAGCTGAGACCGGAACGGGAGCTTTATCCCCGTGTGAGAACTGTTGAAAGCGCGTTCATCCCTGGGTTCTGGGCGGACGGTCTGACTAGAGGGCCTAGAACCTTTCCCGAGGTGGCTGCTTTGCTGGGGGAGCGGTAACCGAAAGCCCTCATCTCACGCTGTCTGGTGACGGGAGGATTTGGACACAGTCGTACCACAGCCCATTACCCCTCCTTCAACTCTACCTGGTAAAGAGACCGGCAAGTGTCTCGCTTCGATGCATCGTCCTAGACAAAAAACATCACGAGCGGAGCGGTAGGGAGTGGCGAGCAAATTGATGGTATCGATGGCTTTTCTTTCTGTTGGAAAATTGCCATGGAGATTGTGGTTTGGCCATATCCAAATCTGAAAAGGCCTGGGTTGGTCCAGACCGCAATCCTCAGCCGGAAACGAGATGCACCTGCGCCCACCGAAGTCCGAGGAGCCCAGGGCTGCGGACGTTATTCCGTAAAAAAGTGATCAGAAAGCTGTTGGCGACCTGGTGTTGCTGCGCAGCGCAGGGATCCGAAAGCAGATTGGGCGAGGTGCTGCACTCTGTGCTTCACTGCGCTGTGCTGTGGATGGTTGGCTGTGGCGCTCGCCCGGGTTCATTCCTCCTAAGCGCACTTTGCAGCTTCGGAGGCAGCTCCGTCTTCAAGCCCAGGGTGCAAACATGCCATTCCGACTGTTGTGGTAGGGGAAGAGGGGCGTTTCAATGGCTCACACCTAGGGGGCGCATGCAGAAAGGCAGTGCTGGCATTCGCCCTTCCAGAAAAGGGAGCGGGGAGGGAGAAGATGGAAAAATGCTCGTTGATTGAGCGTACCTTTGGAGGTCCTTGTAGGCCTAGAACGCGCCCCAAACGTGGTCAGCCCTGGAAAAGTGAAAAAGGGGGGGTATCCCATAGATAGTCACATCCTGCCACCCCCTTCTACCGCAGTGCCGCTGGGCCCTTGCCTTAGTGGTTATGCTCTCTGCTCTCTCTCATACTCGCAAAGTGCTTGCTCTTTGCGGCGGGCAGGCGGGCTCGCTACTCCTCAAGTCCTCGGCTGCAACACCGGGAACCAGCAACCAAGTCAACCCAACCAACCGGCGGCTCGCTGGTTGTTGCCGTCTCGACACATCATCGGTCCTGGACCCCACCTTAACGCCCACAACACAGGGGAGGGCCCAGACCGCTCCAGTTCCGATGGATGGGAACTTTGAGCGAATCAGCGAGCGTGACAAAATAACGGCGAATGGGTCTCAATGGTGCAGGAGCGCCGGGGAGAGGAGCGGAGCGTGGCGTAGGCCCGGAATTGAGAAGCTGAGGAGGAGCGAGCCTGAGAACCGAGGATGAGAGCGAAAGTGAGAGACAAACCACGGTGACCGAGGACCCAGGGGAGGAGGACGGGGCGGACGCCGGTTGAAAGCTCGAGGCAGAAGTTCTGCATAAGCATGACCCCCCGGCAGCCCCCTTGCTCTGTCGGGGTTCTAAAAAAGCGCAGATACGGGCTATTCGTACATACCTGGGCGATGTTGTCCACCGACGAGTCGTTGTCGGGCCTGGTCGTAGTCGCGGAGGCGGACTCGGGCTCCTGAGACGCTGGGGCCATGTTCGGAGACGGCGACGGGGCGAGCGAATGGAGGGCTTTTGGAGGTAGGGAAAAAAATAGCTGGAAAAATCAGTAGAATGTGGCCTGATTTGGGGGGCCGGTGATGGAGTGTCGCCCTCTTTTTCTGTATCCGGGCTCTTTCGCCTTTTGTTGTAAGTCTGCCGTAATGTGGGAAATGCGGATACCCTCTCTTCAACGCTCGATGCCTGAACCACGCGGGCTGGGAGATACGCGGTAGTGTGTTCGTACTTCGTAGCTTCTTTCACAAGGAGACCCCCTCAAAAGCGGATTTCTCGAGGCTATGGCGGGAGAGTCGTGTGAATTCGGTTTGGCTCAGGAAGGCGTGTTGTGTTGGCGGTGGCCTGAGCTTAGTGAGGCTGGAGGAATTCGGTAATGCCGAGCGAATGGCGAAAATTCGGTGTCGTCTCAAGGGTCTGTTAACACGGGTTTTCTAGGATGGAGGAATGGGATTTTGTAAGGACTTGGGCGGAATTTTTGACGTCGGGCGACAGAATTGCCGTCATGGCTCAAACCCCTCACTTCCTTCCCAAAACACTGGGACACACAGACCGGGTGGGGGTCCTCCTTCTGTTTGCTTTGCTTAGGTGATGCCTTCCCTTATGTGCGCTCTTGCCTGAGGTGAAGCAACTGGGATGCCACTGGGCAGGTGCCACGCGAAAAGATGGAGGCCACTGCCCGCAAGGATGCACGCACTTGCACTCACACCTTTATAGCCTGTTGAAAGAGGGCGACTTTCAACTTCTTTGGTCGCCCAGATCGTCTAGTTGGTTAGGATGATACGTTGTGGTCTCCATCACTCAGCGATACCGTGTTGACGGCGGTTCGAATCCGCCTCTGGGCACTACACTTTTTGCGTCTGATTCCCCGGTGCACGTTAAGCAATCGGCCGATTCCAGCCAGCTTTCTTTTTCGCCTGGACCAATTGCCTCATTCCCCAGTTGTTCATCGAGATGGGCTTTCTCGAACAGATGACTCCTAGGCTGCATCTGGCAACAAAGTTGTTTATACATGACCAATGGCCGTGATACGCCATACATCCTTGAGAAAGATTCAGATACAACCTAGACATGGGACACGATAGCAAGGGTCCAAAACTATCGCGGCCCATTCGGCTGAAGGTAATCACAGCACCTGACTCTTTCAGTCGATCGTCATTCGGTAGTTGGATGGCTGAGATGGCCTGCTCTTCCTGAATGAGCCAACTCATGCTCAGATTCCAAAGCTTAAGGTCAAGAAGTATCATGACCGGCGGTACCATCGCATCGAAGTGCATCGGCGTTGGTCTGATGTTGTCGCATCCTGGAAGGCCGCCGTCAGGCTATTCTATTCGTACCTGTGCATAGTTATTGAATGACCACCGGAGTGCACGCCGAAGGCGCAGCCAATGCCGTGCCTGCTTGGCCTGTCAGCAGCTTCAGTGGGTGTGGTGGGTGTGTGACTGTGTAAGTGCCTGTAGAGCATCGGTACGGCGAGCGCATGCCTGGCCACATACGGATACCTTGCCTTAGCATCTGAGCTGCCATCCAGGTCCAGCCTTCAAGCCTCGAGGTGGACTGCTGAGAGAAGCCTGTCAGGCTGTCCAGAGACTGTGCTGCTGTAGGGTCTGCAAAGATGTAAAACGATACGAAGCCTGCTGAAGCGCGAAAAGTGGAAGCTGAAGACCAAGACAGATGCGAGTTCTTGTCGCTGCACGAGGCCTTGGTATCGATACTTGGAGCGGGTACCTGGCGACTTCCATTCGCTTTCTCCTCAGGCATGTTGCTAGGTCGCTCCACTTAGCAGTTGGGAGACCGGAAACTGTCAACCTTCCCCTTACTAGGCTCGTCAATGGCGCACTTGCTTTTTCTTGGAGATTCCATCTGACTGTTCGATGCCGCAGCCCAAGCCCAGATATCGACCAAAACCCCTCCGCACACAGATCGGATTTTCAGAGACTTTCATCGAGAACCATCAGATCCCAAACAAAGCACATGGGATGCTACCCCTTCTGACGCACTGGCGTCCAATCTTCTCGAGCACAACTGGTGGCATTTGCTGAATCTCGATGACTTGGAATGGGCGTTCGAGGATCGAGATGTTGATTTCACCGTGTGCGACAACCACCACACCCTTCCGTAACATACGGTTGGTACCCTCACTGTCGCTGCTGCCTCTGCCGCTGGATCATCGCGATCGTCTGTGCCGCCGTCCTACATCTATCAGACACCACAAAATATAGGCCATGGAGGTGACACTACCATGACGAAGAGTCACTGCTCAAAAGGCCCAGCAGCGAAACTCGATTGACGATCCTGTAGCCTTGGTGTCAGTGTTCGTACTATCGTACTGTCCATGCTGGTGTTTTGTTTCCTCTTCCCATGTCTCCCACACCAACAGTCTCCATTCGGTCGGCGCCTGGAGAAGCCGATCGCTCCTCGATGCGCGCACATCACCTCTTTGCCCATTTCTCTGCCCGCTATTTCCCATCTTTGATGAAACTGTGGCCCGCGAGCGCCTTGCCGTTACCTACAACCTAACGTCAGTCGGCATGGCCATCAGGCCCCAAGGACCCCAGTGAAGTGGTAGGTTCCGAAAGCCACGCGCCGCATCGAATCTACGTCACGGCGGGAAGCCTATCGATGGTCGAGTTGGGAGGTGACTTGCGCATCGGTGCTTTGTAACGCTACCACTTGACGTGTAGCGCGTTCCGCAGCGAAACCCTCTGCCCTTAATTGGAAAATCGATAGGCCGACGCCCTCCCCCATCCTTCTCGGTCGGATTGGAGTGTGCATACGGTAGGGTAGCGTCGACAAGAATGTTGGCCTTTGAATACCTAGTGGCTGCGTTCGGTTTGCTGGCCCAGACGTTCGCTCAGCGTTCGCTTGAAGAGTCCAGAACGTTCAGTTAACGTCCCGGACGAGCGAGGGCCCATAACCATGACGATTGATGCATGGATAAACAACAGTGCAACAGCTTAGTTGCACTTGCCCTCGGACGAGGCGAGGTGGTGCTGCCATCAGAACTCTGCGTCGTTCCATATTTTTCAGAGCTTAATGAAGCTGACAGGTCATCGTCGATGTCCTGATATTCATCAAGGCCGAACGTGGTTGTGGATATCCCGTGTGAGCTAGTCCTAGGCAGAGTGGCAGAACATGGTTGATGAAGTATCCGTGATCCTTGAGACGGGCTGCCTGGAGAGTGTGCCCCGGCGTCACATCTGCAGGACGAGCAAGTCAACGTCGGAAAACCATTCTGGATGCAAGTTTCCATTCCATGACCTTGGCAAATGGGGCATCTCTGCGTCTGGATCATGGACCTCGGTGTCGCTGGCCTTGGTCCGCGTCTGGCTTGGGCGGGCGAGTGGTCATGGTCGAGGTCGAGATGGCCCAAGTTCCAGAACGCTTTGATGGATTGTGGGGCCGTGACGACCCGGTCAAGGTGCATGCACTTCTCAGCCTCACACCCGACAATGGGTGACTGAGAGGTAAGAAAATTGGAAATGCCATTTGCGGCCAAATGCGCAATCACCGGCTGACGATGGCTTTTGGTGGCCCCCTTTGCCACAAAACGAAATTCCCGATCGTGCACTGATGGGGCGCACAGTTACCGGGTGAGCCAACGGCGAATTGGCCCGGCGCCTTCCTGCGTTTCACCGCATGGATGTGCCATCAGTAATCAAGAACCCGATGCGCCCTAGAAGGGACTGCCGTGTGATGTTGGCGAGCGCCTGTCCTGTAATGATAGGAAGCCTCGTGAGGAAGTGTTGTTTTTGTGACCTCTCAAGATGTCGCCCGTCTTGGGAGCGGCTGGATGACAAGCCGTCGAAACAGCAGTGCTTCGCTCGCTTGAGTGGGCACTCCCGTCCAACACACAGCCAGTAAGAAGACGAGTTTATTTCCACGGGGTTTCTTCCGCAAAACCCAGAGACGGCGAACGTGACTGTCGGCGTCGCAGCCGTGTATGCGATCGCATGGCAGTCATGGTTCGCCGGCCGTTGTCTCACCCGCGCCGTACAGTTGGATACGGCGCCTTGCCTGCGGACGACAGCAGGCGGTGGTGACCTACACAGTAAGGCAGGTTGGTAAGGTAAGGTAGCCCAGGCTGTGAATGCCGCGAGGTAGACGGGTACTCTGTCCCCGAATGTGATAGTAGCGTGCCAATGTGGGCTGTAGGGTGCTGTAATGGCCAGATACGTCCGCGTGAGTGTGCTACGGCAGGGGTGGTAGCGGCTTTCGATCGCGGCGCAATTCTCGATTTCAGGTTCCTTTGCGCCCATGGATGGATGCTCCGTCTCCCCGCATAGAGGCGTGGGTTTAGCCATGTTGGGTTTGCCTGGTCAAACGCTGACACGTCGAGAAGCGCGACTCTGGCGTGTCTGGGGCAGGCTTCTTGAAGTGCAGGTCGACCGACGGTGGTGGAAGTCGAGCATCGAGATCCAGGTCCACGAGCTGGGCTGCTTGATTTCTCGACCTTCATCTAACCCAGGCGACGGTATGTGTCTCTGGAGGACTGCAGGGTTGTTCATGGTGTCGGATTCTTCTCCCTCGCTTCTTCATGGGCTGGTCATTGCTGATATGGGATCCACCACAGCTACGTGATGTCGCATCTCCTGCCGCCCATGGTTGTGGTCGCGGCCATGGTCTTTTGTGGGAGTCTCGAATCTTGAATCTTGAACGGCGGTATTGGGTGATGACGGTATGCCAGGTATCTCGACCACGGATTCTCTGCAGCGAATTGTGGACCGTCGCTGGCAGCCAGCCAGCCAGCCAGCCGTCTCTAGCGGTCGAGGTCGAAGCCTGTTTCCATTGTTGTCGAGCTGAAGAATGTCTGCTCAGAGACAGCGGAATTACCCGCATCCAATGTTCTCAAGAGCCCGAACGTAGCCGGGGTAGAGAACGCTGGAAGAAGGTACGGAGTGAGGTAAAAGCAGGTACGAACCAGACTCAGGTAATGGAGGTTGGTACAGTCGCTGTTGATGGAGGCACGGATCACCCACAGCGGTAACCCAGTGCTAAACGTCTACTGCAAGTCTTCGGGCATCCTATCGCGGAATACAGCGTGAGAGCGAGCCAGGTGAGAGTGACAGAGGGGCGTGGATGGACGTTGTTGACCTGAACACCAACGCCAGCCCAGCCCATTCCTGACGGACTGAAGTGCGCTGAACTGAGATGGACTGGACCCGTGCCTCGTACGGGCTACGAGATACAGCTGGTTAGCTGCCGAAGGCGGTTCAGGGCACTTGACGCATGTACCGGTACGCCCCTCTCAGGTATCCAGAGTTCCTCCTCCCCCCCCCAAGCGGCCGTTTCCTGTTCCTGACTCGTCAAGCATCCCGGTCTGCCATGGGCTAGGAAGCCCCCCATGGTCACTGCTGGACGAATCCCGCTTTTATTTGCGATGGGCTTCCAGTAAAACCTCGTCGTGACGGTGTTGGATTCCTCAAAAGTCGGTTTCTGCGATCAGACGCCAGGGAGCTTACGGTGTCGTCCTGGGTGCCTTGGACTACACAAACAACCATCCGCCTGTTAACTCTGGTGGCCCATACCTGACCTGCCTGTACTTGTTAGGTAGCTCTCCAGCTGCTTCTGCTTCTGCTTCTTGTCCTGCATCTTTCTGCCTTACCTACCTACCTACCTACTACCGACGTACTATGCAGTCTAATAAGGTAGTGATAGAGGGCAAAGGAAAGACATGCCACCCCGGATCACACTTCTGCGGCAACGTCTGAGGCTACTTCAATACACACCCACCCGACAGATTCCCTTTTGACACCTCTGACCTCACCTTTCAATTTGCGTCGATCACCGCGGGGCTGGTACTAGCTCGCACCTCGATAAACGGTTCCCTTCCGTCTTCACCTCGTCATCCTGTCACTCACGCTTTTGGACCGAAAACTCGCGCTCCGTTCTTCCATCACCTTTCGCACCGTCGACAGACCCCCCCTGGTGTTTCTTCACCGTTCCCAATTTCGAACAACCCCAGGGGAGACAAGAAAAAAAGACTTTTGCTGGCGGGCCTTTCGTCTTTTCTTCCCCAAACCCAGCCTCTTCCTTCTCCTTGAACAAGCAACACTCGGAGTCTCGATACACGACGACGACTTCCACGCCCACTTTGACGCGCCGACATCTCTCCTGGTTTCAATAGATCCCTTCTCTCTCTGGCAACGCCAATTCTGTCTGCCTTTCCCTATCCTTCATGCGCTTGTAGTAGACTGCTGCCAGGCTTAGAAAGCAAGAAAACCCCATCGCTTCTGTACGTATCCTCTCCCGATTTCACTGTTCCAGTTTCCTTGTCAGTGTACGCAGTACGCAACACGCGGTACACTCTACACACACACACACACATATCCATCCATCCCACCCGATTCTTGAAAGCCCCTCTCTGCTTGGTCCATCCCGTTGTCCCACACCCAAGAGCTCGGTCTCCTTCACCATGTCATCGAGATCCCTCTTTACATTGCAGCCACCATATTGGTATATCCACGCCAGGCCTGCCGCATGCCTCCGTCCCTATCACTCTCCGTTAATAACCTCGACATAACAGACCGTCGCCTATTTCACGAAAAAGGCATCGACATCGACCAACACAGCGCTTTCGCACCATCATCGTCGCCCGGAGCGCAGAGCATTTCGAGAGTACACGTCCTCGTCGCCTCATCGCCCTCGCCTCCCCGCCTAGTGGACGCGACTTGATTTTCGCCGGAATTTTCCAATGACTGTTAGCTGGACAGAGAGGGACTAGAAGTGCTTCGACTTCGAACGAGGGAAAACGGCGCGAATCGTCTCCAACAGACGATTAGATCAGATGGGAACGAATTGACCGACGGAAAACGAACCTTCAACGCTGGTTAATCGAGGCACTCCCTGAACAGCCTCAACGCCGTATATTGCCGTGTATCGAGACGCGCACACCACGAGCACTCGCCCAACAACCAGCCCAATTCAGAGGCACAAATATTGCCACGATGGCCCAAAATCTGGAGAGCATCTTTCAGGAGCTGGGCATTTCCCAGTATCTCGACATCTTTCTGGAGCAAGGATTTGACACGTGGGACACGATTTTGGATATCACGGAATCCGACCTGTCAGTAGCACATCGCCCTCGACGATGCGCACCATAGACTAACGTATGCCTCAGCGACGCACTTGGTGTCAAGTTGGGCCACAGACGTGTAAGGAGCTGGCATGTACTCTGATGTCAACGGGAGATTCTAACATCGGGGACAGAAATTGCAGAGGCGCATAGCCAACTCCAGGGGCCACGCTCCCGATGTGTCCCTAGTATCACCAACGAGAGCAAGCGTAGAAGAGCCCAAGACCGAGACGCAGCGGCCCGATCAACCGCGGCCCGAGAACAAAGAGGGCCCAATTCAAGCCAAGCGCAAATACCGACGACACCCAAAGGTATGTGTCGAGCAACTGCTTTGTATGGGAAATATGCACTGACAACTCGTCAGCCGGATGAGAATGCGCCAGAGCGCCCCCCTTCTGCCTATGTATTATTTTCCAACAGTAAGCCTGATTGGTAGCGTGAAAGAGAGGTCACATAACTAACTCGGGATCAGAAATGCGCGACGAGTTGAAAGGTCGCAATTTGACTTTTACCGAAATAGCCAAATTGGTTGGTGAGCACTGGCAGAACCTCACTCCCGCAGAAAAGGAACCGTATGAAACCTCGGCTCTGAAAGCAAAGGAGAAGTACAACCATGATTTGGCCGAGTACAAGAAGACTCCGGAGTTCAGAAAGTACACGGCATACCTCGCAGACTTCAAGGCCAGGCAAGCCAGCGCTAATCAAGGTGAGATGCTATGCTTTATTCCAACTCCCATGCACTACTAATGCATTCTCAGCCAAAGAGTCATCCAAACGTCAGAAACTCGACTCCGGGGTTCGACTAACCAACGGAAGTGCAAGCGCAACACCAGGAAGTTTGAGCAGTACTGGCAGCGGAACCGAGAGTCAACCAGGAAGCGAACCGCCTCCGAACAGAAAGCAACGTGTAGGGTCTGTCGTTTCGTTATCTGAGTCACAATACTCGACGGCTGTCCCCACGCCTATTTCGCAACATCAACATCCAGCCGATGAGGCGGTGCACTCACCTACCAGCACTCAGTTCGATCGCGAGAGCCTGCACTCGACAAGTCCTCGCGCAACCCACAGCCGGAGTCGTCGCCCAACATGGACCGACACGCAATCCAACCCCGAGGCTGTCCCAACTCAAGTGCTTCCTTCAATCTCTTCGTTTTCGGGTGTGTTACCATCGTTGAATGGTGCTTCGAGATCGCCCGAGATGATGAATGGCTTTGGTTATGCACCTTCGAGACATCCTAACTCTCTCCCACCTCCACTTCCTTCCGCAGGCAGTACTGCCTCATCCGGCTCCGCACCGTCGTATCCTCATACGCCTAGTCACAACCCTCTCCCGATCCATGCTTTGTGCAGCAACGAGGGCAAGGTTTCTCCAGTTTCTCAACCTCCCCGGGCAGCCGTATTTGAAGTGCAACCACCACCTTTCCCTGCGGGCCCACCACCTCCACTCCAGGAACAAAAATCAATGTTCCCCCATATGCCCACCGTCGCCCAAAACGGTCGGAATGGTATGTTCACCCCTCAAGAGTACCGCTTTCCTCAGGGCTAACAAGATTCAAGGATACCACTCGCCACCGCAGCTGTTGCGGTTCCAGTCCAGTTCATCCTCATCGGGAACTGAGGGGTCTATAGCTCCTTCACACGCACCCTCACATGCCTCCTCGCAGACCTCACTGGGGGCCCAAGACCGAAGCACTCCGAAACTTGATGGGTTGAACCAACTGTCACGCGCAGCTGAGTTGTTGAATAACAGACGTTGAGAAAATGTCGTAGTGGATGTAGCCACCATTTGATGTTGTTGAAGAAAAGGAGTGTTGAGACAGTGGCATTTTTCTTGTTGCCGGGCCGCGGGCCTTCCTGAGGAGCTTTCACCCGCCTGCTTATTTTCGTCGATGTGGATATGTTGAGTCTATCGAATCTGGACAGCTAGGGTGGTGTGTTCGACTATCTGAAATACCCTCATGAGTTGGCATCTTGCTGGGCATTGTTTTTGGGAAACTTTATGGCGGCGTATTTGGAAGCCCCCTCACTGGCGTTCTTGGGTATGGCGGACCTTGGATATTTTCTTTCTTGCCTAAGCAGGCTATGAGTTGTGCGATACGACCAGACGATATGGTTCATCTTGAAAGGAAACGGAAACTGGGTTGAAAATGGCATGACAAGAGGGAAGCTTCTTGGTAGCCAGAGATGCTGAAAATCATATAAACAGTGTAAAGAAAAAAGGTCTGAATCAACAGGATATGGTATGAGATAGCAGGACAGACGGCAGTGGAATGTACAAATTGAACGAAATACTGTCCCGTGTTGATCAGGTTGATGGGTGACTGGCCCAAGAACTGCGTACCATGGGTAGGAAAAAGGATGATCTCAAATGGACAAGATGGAAAAGAGGTGACGTAAATGAGAAAGATGTGGTGGGAAGACGCCCTTTTTACTTCTTGTCCACCAGACGTCCAAGTTCCCCGAGCCCAAGCCCAACCAAGCTTGAGGCAGACACACAAGCAGCAAGCCAGGGAAGCGAGTAGCATATGCGGACGGCCGCTAGGTGGATAAGGTGACGAGCAACCAACGAGGCAGGCGCATGGCGCATGGTGCGTGTGTATGTGTGTGCAGGTTTAAGGGTCCCCCTCCCCCAGTCGCGAATAGCGAATAAGCAAGGTGAAAGGGGTCCCTGTTTCGTTTTGTCTGGCGCGTCGGTCGAACCCCGCCTGGCACATACATCATTCCCATGCAGGTCAAGTCAGTTCATACCTTACCACCGCATCCATTTCGCACTTATTCCCAGAGCCTCCAACGTCATCGTGTGCTCAAAATTTCGGGGTCCTCCCCTCCCCGGCCCTCAAAAACTTGCTGTGTAGATTGCCTTTCCGAGCCTTGGCGCACAGACCGAGCGAGGACCCTTGTAGTATTATTGTCTGCCCCCCTTGCCGTGTGAGTGAACACTGCATGCTGAACCAGTGAAGCTCGACTCTTCTTTTTGTTTGTTTGGTTCGTCTGCGTTTTTCGCGCCGATCGCTAGACCCTGCGTGCTCAACGGCGATCTCGACCAGTGACCTGACGATGGGCGTCAGGTGGTGAGGCTAAGCTGATCGAGGAGAGGCAAACGTAGCATGCTATTAAGTATGCGACGTTAAGGCAGGTTTGGTCGTGACCGAGGAGTAGATAAGTTGCAATGAAGCAAGCAGAGAGGAGAGACGGAAGGACAAGAACTTCGAAGAGGAGGGAAAGAAGCTGTGCTCTTAATAGGACATCACACACAAACTCAAGACATACTACACATCTCCCGTTCGCTGCTGCTGCAAGGTCACAGACATGCTAAAATCGCACGCAGAAGCTGAAGCAGACACATGCTCAAAAATCCCATCCCAGCCCGCCACCCAGAAAGCATCTCCTTGAGGCCTGAGACATGGTCTTTTTCCATAACGGCCAGGGCAGCCAATAGAAGCCTGCCCTCGATACCCATCATACAAAGCCACTACCAGAGGGCTAGTAGGGAAGTATTAAGGGCCTACGAGGCCTGTAATCTGTCCAGATGCGGTCTTTAGAGGGCCCTCTAGAGCCCTCCTAGCAAATCAGATACTATCTTTTGCGCCACTTAGCTAGGAATTTATACTACTACTACCTACGTAGGTGGTGTTGAAGTAGCTGTGGTAGCTTGGAAAAAGACCATGTCTCAGGCCTCAAGGAGATATGTACATATATATTCCTATACCCTGGAGAGCGAGTAATAAGGCTAACAGGCGCTACAATCTGTAAGTTTAGATCTTTAGTCTAGCTATGGGACGACGGCCTATCTCCTTGAGGCCTGAGACATGGTCCTTTTCCTGCCCGCTATAGCTACCTCAACGTCTCCTATGTAGGTAGTGGTAGTAAAAGTACTATAGGTAAGTGGCGCGAACGCTGGCTTCTGATTTGCTAGGAGGGCTTTAGAGGGCCTGGAGGGCTCTAGAGGTCCCTCCAAAGACCGCATCCGGAAGCCCTCGATTGCCTCGTTACTTCTCTGCCAGCCCTCTGCTGGTGGCTTTGTATTATGGGTACTGAGGACAGGCTTTTATTGGCTGCCCTGGCCGTTTGGGAAAAGGACCATGTCTCAGGCCTCAAGGAGATGCGGGTTATGGCGTAGCGTGGTTCCCGGCCCGGAGGATATGCTCCTTGAGGAGGGACCCCAGAAGGCGACAGCGCAGCCCGACTGCAAAGAAAAAATCCAGCAACGTACTCTGGCAGCATCTGTTTTTGTTTTGATTGGTGTTCATCCTATCGTGCACAACACCGAGACACTTGTTTCGTCGGTGAGCGATCCGGGTTGTTTCCTTCGTCCCTACATCGGATGCTGCACAGCATGGCAGCAGCGCATCCGTCGCCTCCAAGGCACCCTTCATCGGATGGGGACCCAAGCGGCCACGATTGATCCTCTAGCTCCCCTTCCCAGACCCAAGGTGTCGGGTTGGACCAGCCGTTGGAACGTGTGCTAGCGGCATTGCTTTAGGATGAAGGGAACTCCAGAAGGTCCCCTCATCAGATTAAAACGGTCAAGACGCATGATGTGAGAATGCAGGCATATCGTTATTTAATGCGAGTTCGAGGCAAACCGTTCGGGCCGGTCGATTGTCATTCATTACATAAGACGTCACTCCAGGACTTCCCGAGCCCACTCGGCCCGCGATGCCTTCGGTTGGAGGCAGCTGAGACCAGAGAAGGCGTGGAACAAATGATTCTTTCCGCCCATTCATTATCAACATTGCAAAACCAAACATGTCGTCGTTACAAGCAAATTAACGCCGCTGAAGGCCTACGCGGCACAAACGATCGCAAAGACACATCCGCCCGTCGCTCCCGTTCCTTTTTATGCATTTCCTACTCGTTTAGTCTCCGCCAGCCGTGATCTCGGCCGTCCAGTCCTTTTTGATCATCAGCTCCGTGAGATCGGGCGTCTTCTCGACGACGAGACCCTTCTCGTTAGCCAAATGCAGCAGACTGATGAAGCAGAAACTCGTAGAGATGTCCTCCATCATCGGCCTGGGGTATACTGATTGGAGGTTGTTCATGACATCGGTGAACTTTAGCGTTGGGTCCTTGGACGGGTCCTCGGGCGGGGTTGGTGTGGGAAGGTTTTCCTGCACATGAGTGAGCGTTGGGTTTGCGTCCGGGGATGACTTAAGACTTACAGCTTCAAGGCTTTCGAGGCCCATGCCCTTCCAGATTTCCTCCTTCAAACGTCTTACATCCACCCGCTTGGCCACACGTGCGTATTGCACATAGTCTGGCCGCAGACGGCGCGTTTGGGTGACTAGCGTCGTGCCAAAGGCGCCGGTTAGGGCATTCGTCGCTGCGTCGCTGCCGAGGAGAGCAGTCATACCCGCAGTCTCAGTAACACCGGGGTCGCCCTCTGCGGTAGGCGAGAAGTGCTCGCGAGCGTCTGCGAACTCATCATCCTCATCTTCCAGACCACCAGCGAAGGGAAGTGCGTCATCCTGGAAGAAGTTGGCGTCGTAGTCGCCTTGCGGCAACGTGTCCGTCTCTTCGGCGCCGTGCAGCGGCTCTTTCTGATTGGCCCAGAACGCCTCGTCCATCTCGCCTGCCGGGACGTCTCTGTCCTGGCCGCCGCTTCCGAAGGCGCCGCCTCTGGTGCCAAGGACACGTCTTTTGCTGAGACGGGCCTTGGGCTTGAGGAAAAGATTAAGAAGAGACTTGGAGTTGAAGTGCTTGTCGTCAGGCAGGAGATTCCTTGATTTGGAGATCCAGTCCTTCTTTGGCATGGAGATTGCGGAGTTGCTGGTGGCCTTTGTGTACAGCGCGTCAGCCAGGTTGTTATCCAGCGGCGCGGAGAAGTCGATCTCGAACGGCTCCTTCTCCTTGCGTTGCCGGGCTGGAGCTGCTGGCTTGTTGATGTCCTTGATTTTCCTGATTCTCCAGTGCTCGGCGCTGGTCCAGTTCTTCTGCAGGGCCTGGTCGAAGTACCCCAGGATGTCCTCATGCATCTTGTCGGCATTCTGCGCGTGGCTCATGGATATGACATAGTCGCCATTGTCCTGGTCCAGCATCTCAACGTCACCACCTTCACCGCCGTCGTTGTTGAGACCGGCGTCGTATACGCGCATTTGCGGCTCAAGCGCAGCTTCCCTAGCCCACGCCTCACCACCCTCGCCGAATGCGACATCCGCGCCCAGGTCAAATCCACCGAGACCGAGATCGTCATCATCGAAACCAGCGGCGTTGTCACCGTCAATGAACATGCCAGAGTTATCACCAAGCAAATCAGCCGTCTTCTCCTTGTCCTGGTCACCTCTCCAGTCCTCTGGTGCCCTGAGGAAGGGAATATCCAGAGAACCGGAGGGGTTGCCAAGGTCGAAGGTCTTCAACGATGGGCAGACATCAAGCTCGTCCAGAATGTTCAGTTCGGGGAAGAACTTAGAACCAAGAGAACCGAGATCGATCTCTACGTCTTCAGTCTCCTCCTCCGGCTCGGGCTCCTCGACCATGGATGGTTCAGGAGTACCCTCTTCCTCGTCTTGATCAGCCGCGGTATCCTTCTTTCTTGTCTTTGAGGTGTGCGCATCGCCGACGTCGTCACTGCTGTCAAATACGATGCGTCCCTGGGCATCTACCATGAGGTGGTTAAGGAGCAAGCCCTTGGCACCGCCCTCATCAAAGTCTGCGGAGGTCTTCTTGAACAAGGGATCCACGGCGAACTCAAGCTCGAACTTCTTGAGTTGGAGTGACGAGAAGCTAGGTGCAAGAGTGGCCTCTGACGAACGTTGCGTCTGTTCAAAGTCAGCATTTCCGCGTGTACTCTGGGTTGAATGTCGCATACCTTTCGCTTTGGCTTCTTCCTGACGTTTCCATCCTCATCGACCTCGTCTTCTTCACTCTCTTCACCTTCGTTTCCTTCACCGTCGCGGTCTCTCTTCTTGTTGTTGCTGTCCGCAAGACCGCTCAGCAACTTGCCGGTCTCGGTTGCGACACTGTCAACTCTGCTCGTGTAGATCTTGACGCAGCCGTCTAATGTGCAACTGGCCTTCTGAAAGTTGACTCCATCACCCTCCTTCAGCAGAGACATGTCGTGGAAGTAGTCAATCAGCGCGAAGTTCCAGGAATTGTTTGCGTTGATCTTGTTGTCCGTGGCCATCTTCATCCACTCTTCGAAGTTTGCGAGAATCGGGACTCGCTTCATAGGCGTAACTGTGCTTCCGCTAACGACAATATCGTCGTCATCTTCGTCGACGACTGTTCGGGCTCGACTGCCGCGGGCACCTGGCGTCTTAGGCCGGGAGCCACCGGGCGAATTTTCGATATCCTCCAAGCTGTGTCTTCCCTTGCGCAAAGGTGTCGCAGCTGCAGCCTTCAGCTCGTTCTTCTGGCGCTCTTGCAGAGCATGGCGCGATTGCGCTCTCCGGGCCTTCTCTTCCACATCGTCGTTGAGGGGGATTCTGGATACTGTTTAGTACCGTTGCTGGGCGGGTGGAACATGGGTGAATCGGCGGTGTCGCAAACGTACTTGACGGGGGAGTTCTTGAAGGGCGAAGCGTTCATCGACCCGGAGGTCGCTCTGACGCTGCCAGCGCGCGGTACGTTAGCCACTCGAGGCATTTTGTGTTGTCGGCGATGAGGCTGTCGTCCGGCGGTGTTGGATGTTGGATTTGTTTGCGATGTGCGTCGGTAGCCCAGTGCCCGACACCAATGTTTACTTTCCCCACTTGGACACGCCCCCAACGACGACGCGAAACAACAATAAAGAGTTGGTGCCTGAAATCTTAGGTGTCAGATTTACCGTTTCCGGACGGGACAAGGCGGGGAGCTGAAAGCCCGGGCCCGAGCGGTTTCGTCCCAACTGCCAGCGTTTACTTGGTTGCTGCCGCCCCCCATCCAACCCCCCTTGGCTTTGTTATCTTCACGTGACGCGATGATGCTCTCTGCCGAGCCCAATTGGAACCGCTCTCTTACACTTGCCGTTGCAACACGCCCTCCTCTCTTAAAGTTGCCGCTCCAAAGAAACATAGCCACGTTGGAGGGGGATTTACCACGCGTGTCCTCGGCTCTATCAGAGCATCGGCCTTGCGTAGACCAGCAAATCTTGGCCAAGAACTTGCGACACAGCCGTTTCCTTAAGACCTTGGGCAGGTTTTCCCGGGCTGCCTCCCAGAGTCTCCATGAATCGTACATGAAGGCGAGAAGCGCATGCATCTTCTCGCCCTGCCCTGCGGCTCACCTCACACCCGCTAGCAGACTTTCCTGCGTATCCTATTTTTTGCATATCGACTCGACTCAGCGACACCCGTTCGTTCCTCATCCGCGCACCGCAGCGGAACGAGCGGCATCACCAGGCACGCGCCCGCGACAAGTCTTCTGCCATGGCTTCCTATGAGCCAATTATCTTCCACATTTGACGTCAGCATGCCAGCTACCTCTAAGATTAGGGGGAGCGGCCTTCGCTTGCGGCCATTCTATACGACAGTCTTTCTTCTCACCCTGCTCGCGACATGGTCATTCTTTACCAAGGCCACGGAACGACACTTCGCCCCGCAGCATGTCGACGCCTCGTCTCCGCTCCTGAGAAGGAACGAGCTGACGGAATGCCGGGATGTTCACCGCGCTGAGGATCAGTGTGCCTTCGTCAAGGCTCACTGCGCCGAGGACGAGGCTGGCTTGCTCTCATATCTCACCCTGTACTACTGCAACCTAGGCAAGGCTCAGCCAGTCGCTTTCGCCATACTCGTCTGCTGGCTCGGCCTGCTCTTCACCACCATTGGCATCGCCGCCAGCGACTTTTTCAGCGTGAATCTCAACACCATCTCTACGATCCTTGGCCTTAGCGAAAGCTTAGCGGGTGTTACCTTCCTTGCCTTCGGAAATGGATCCCCGGATGTCTTCAGCACCTTTGCAGCCATGGGCTCCAACAGCGCCAGCATGGCTGTAGGCGAGCTGATCGGCGCTGCAAGCTTTATCACCGCCGTCGTCGCCGGTTCCATGGCCTTGGTTCGGGAGTTTAAAGTGGGGAGACAGACCTACGTCCGCGATTTATGCTTCTTCATCGTGGCCGTCTGCTTCACCATGGTGTTTCTGGCTGACGGGCACCTGCACCTATGGGAGTGCATAACCATGGTCTGCTATTACATCTTCTACGTGGTCTTCGTTGTCACATGGCATTACTACTCGAAAAGGCGGAGCCAGCGGCGGGTCCGGGAAGCAGCCGCACGAGGTCATGTCTACGGAGCAGTGGGGCATCCATACGATGAACTGGCACCGGAGCCGTACCGGGATGATCCCGACGACGAGGATCGTCAAGTTACGTCCGCCAGCGCCTCCAATGCCGGTGATATCAGTGCACTAGAGGCTGGGCCGCGAATTGAGGTCGAAGGTCAGGACGAGGGCGATGACGAGGTTGAGGAGAGCGATCATGGCAGGCACGTCGTGGCGGAGATGGCGAGCAACATGCGTGTTCTCCGTCCCCGAGGCCGCAGACGCAACACTCTTACTCCGATTCGTCCCAGTTTGGTCGGCGCCCTGGAGTTTCGATCAGCTTTGGCTCAACTGCAGAGGGAGAGCAACTTGAGGATGCGACCGATGCACGGGCGAGCATACTCAGTTAATAACATTCGAAGCAACAGCGAATCAGGCACTGTTATGGGGCCACCTTCAGATTCGGGCAGATACACCATCAGCGGCGGCGAAGGTCTCGGCCAGAGTAGGAATAGGGCCTTGTCCTCTGGAAATGTTCCCGGCTCACTGGTTTCTACCCGCCAACCCAGTCGCGATCACTCTCCTTGGCGCTTCCCTCCTCAAGGCTCAGCGAACCCGATCCAACAGGTAAAAGCCCAGGAAGCCAGGAATCGAAGTCCATCCCCTGCATACAAGATTGGTGGCAATCTGGCGCCTCCTCCGTTGGACGCGGCGCCCCCACGACAAGACACTGGCGGCAGCGATTCTCTTGACCCCAGACCATTCGGCCAGCTTTCCCTCCAGATTCCAACAAGCAGACGTACAAGTTTCAGCACCTCTTCGCCAGCATCCCCTTTTCCCGGATACACTGAATCTCCAATGGTGTTAACGCCAGCAGCCCAACCCGATCCGCCCGAATTCATATTGCCTCCTGGACCAGCTCGCATGGAGATGCCCTTCGCGCCCTACGAGGTGATCGAACCGAAGCCGGTGAGATGGTGGCCATATGCTATCTTGCCGCCCCCTCACATCTTCTGGAGAACATTGTTTCCTACACTCCTAGGATGGCAGCAGAAGAGTCACTGGGACAGATTCGTCAGTGCCATATCGGTGCCGAGCATTCTGCTACTCGTTCTCACCCTCCCGGTCGTTGAGAGTGAAAGTCCAGACGACTTGTCTGACGATACCATGGTGGACCCCATGATCGGCTTGGACACCACTGGCGATGGATCTGTAACATTGCCTGAGGGCGAGCCCATCGAACAAGAGTCGGAATGGCAACGCTTTAGAAGAGCCACCCTGACGCATTCTCGCATGCCGTCTCTCGAGCGCACCTATTCTCCCAAGGGTTCTCCAGCGTTGATTGCCATCGATGATCCGAGCGGTGCGCGTGTCGCTGAGGCACCCACGAGCCACCCACAACACGTCAAGCCGGCGGCACCTCTACCCTCTGAGAGTAGCATCGCTGTTGACGACTCGGGTCAGTGGAATCGGTGGCTTGTCGCTATCCAAATCTTCACGGGCCCCTTGTTTGCAGTGGTCATCCTGTGGGCCAACATGTTTGAGGACTTCCAGCACCCATACAGAGTGCTGGCCAGGTTCATTCTCTATACCCTGCTGGCATCTACCATACTTCTTGGCCTGCTACTCATGACGACAAGCCCTGACAAGAAACCCAAGTTCCATTTCCTTTTATGCTTCATGGGGTTCATCATTGCAATAGCTTGGATCTCGACCATTGCGGGAGAGGTTGTTGGTGTTTTGAAAGCTGTCGGAGTCATTCTGGGAATCTCGGAGGCTCTTCTCGGGTTGACCATCTTTGCTGCGGGCAACAGCGTTGGCGATCTCATCGCCGACATCACCGTTGCCCGCCTTGGCTACCCTGTGATGGCTCTGTAAGTTGCAACGTTACCTTTCGACGCATACAGTTTACTAACAGCAACGTAGTTCCGCATGCTTCGGCGGCCCCATGCTTAACATTCTCCTCGGTATCGGCATTGGCGGCGTCTATATGATGGTCCAGGCCGCCAAACATCGGCACAAGAAACATCCTGACAAACCCTTCAAGTACCACTCATACGAGATTCAAATCGGAGGCACCCTGATGATATCAGCCATCACACTCCTCCTCACCCTCTTGGGTCTCCTACTCATCGTTCCGATGAACAAGTGGATCATGTCACGCAAGATCGGCTGGGGCCTGATTGCGATTTGGACAGTCAGCACCATCGTCAACGTCGTCATCGAAGTGACGGGGGTGTGGACTGACGTGTCCTATTCTCTCAGTTTCTAATACGTCCATTTTTTTTCGAAGCACATACACACAGACTGTATCAGTATTCGACGAGTACATTCTACACAAACAAGTTAGCATACCCCGGCATAGCGTGCGACGAGAAACAAAGCGATTTGCGACTTTCAGGTTATATTTTCGATTGCGTGTACAGTCATTACAGAGTTCAAATGGGAAGAAGCGACTGGCTACGAAGGACAACCTTACACTCTACACATATACAATAGTAGTTTATAAAAGCATATTACAAGTTCACGTTGAGATTGACAGCAAACAATAGTAACGTTGCCGTCGGTTATCTTTCCTCGTTATTGGTCGTCTTAAGAGAGGCGACGACGCGCTGTCTCCTCAAGCGACACCGATCGAAGCGCCGACGTTCCTGGATTGTTGTTCCTGATGCCAGGCACGGTCCCACGTCGTACAATGTAAATCACCATCTGATGTGTTCTCCCGTGCGCCCGTGCTCTCTTCCTACGGGAGGCAACTACTGTCGATCTCGAAACCCGCGTGGCTTCAATTGGACGAACGGCGATCCTTTTCTCTCTTCGTTGCCAAGGATTTCGTCTGGTAGTTGTGTGTTTTCAGCTGGCTGTATGTGCTCTCTTCGCCAAGAGATCCATCTGTTGTGGTTGCCTCAGCTGGGCTGTGTGTTGTTGTGATGCCAAGAAAGGTCGTGGACGCACGTCGGCCAGGGCTGATGCGTTTTGACGTGTTGCATGTGTTCGGCGGAATCAGGGGGGACTGCGTTTTCGGGTCTCTGGGCTTTCGTGTCAACATACAAGCGGGCATAGAAGTTGGGGACTGAATGGCAAGTATAAAAGCGCCGCATCAGACACCTTCTTATCGATCCTGCCCTTTCGAATCTAGTTCACACACGTTATCATCACACTATCTCTTAAGCATTCACATAGAGCACTTTTGAACATCCTGTTCTTCAGTTCAACTTATCCAACATGGGCTTCAACACAATCCTCAACACTGCCAAGCAGCTTGCTAGCAACGACGAAGCTAAGAAGGACCAGCAGAGCTCGTCCCAGACTTCTGACCAGCAAGGCTGGGACAAGGTCGGCGACGACGCCAAGAAGGCCTTTGCGAACTATCAAGCCCACCAAGCTCAAGGCAAGGGTCCCGATTACAA